CAACAGTATTACTAATCTTAATATTGTCCGTGCCAGGACTCCACCCAGTTGGAGACACATTGTCAAAAGGGAGGACCTTGTAGTTTACTGTGCGCGCGCGCGCACATACGCACGGGAGTGTGCACACATACACGTGCGCGCGCACACACGCGAGAGTGCACACACACACACATGCGCGCACATCACACGGGAGCGAGCACACTCAGACGCCCCTCTAGGGCAGGTCCCGCCTGCAGCGAACCGAGCGCTTTGTCCCTTCCTGCCGGGCAGGGTCCACAGGCTCCTCGAGGATGCCCCCCTCCGCCGTCTCTTCCTTCCTTGGCCCGTTGAGTCCCGCCCCCAATTCCCGTGAGACCCGTTCAGGGGTCCCTGAGGCAGGCCTGGCCCTGGAGGACCGCTCGCCCTTGGCCCAGGGACCAGCTGGTGCACCTTGTGAGAGGGATACACACTTGTGGAGGCGGTGAAGCAAGAGGGGGCTCTAATTTGAGGAATGAGAGTTTAATACAGGCCCCCCTCGGTGCGCAGCACTTGTTTCCTCCGCTGACCCCTGGGCCTCAGCTCCCTCCTCCACTCATGCCCCTCTGGACTGGACACACACCCCAGCTCCCAACTCGTGGCTGCGAGCTCGAGCTAGCAGGGTGCTGGACTGTCCCCTCCTCTGCGCAGCCGGAAGCCCTCGTGCCCCCCAGATAGCCCGTTTCCCTCCTCCCTTGGCCTTACCTCCACCTCCGGACAGAGATGCATAGCTTCCCTCACCTTCTTTAAGTTTTCGATTCAAGGCCTAGGAGAGTGGGGGCCGTGAGGTGGAGACCTTCAGACTGGGACTTCAAGTTCAATGGCAGTCCCTGACCCTACCCCCAAGCCGGGCAGGAACACGGACTTTCTCGCCTCTTCGTTCTGGGGGCGATGGAACTTGACTGTCTCCCCTCCTGTTTGGGGACAATTTGGAGGAGGGGTGGTGATGGGACTCCTTCCCTGTCACCTTCCTTCCCTCCCCCCACCTGCATTTTTACACAGAACTCAGCGCGGGGTGGGGGGAGGAAGAAGAGCTGGCACCGGTTCCCCATTGGACGTTTTAAATCTTTCTAGACCCCGGTCAGCGCCTGGGGGAGGGGCGGTGTCCCGCTCTTGGGCGAGAGGCCGTGGCCCCCATTCTTTCTCCTTCTTTCCCAGAGAGGGTCTATAGAGGCGGGAGAAAATGTGCTGTACATTTCTTTCAAAAACAATGAAAACGTCCATCACCCTCTCTGCCTCTGCGCTTTGTTACAGGCTTACGGTAACAAGTTCATTTCTTTAATTCTCGGTTGTAATTCTGGGGTTTCTCTTAGACAAGACTGGGGTGGGAGCACAGTTTCCTCTGACGGAGACCTAATTAAAGTGCAGCACTGAAAACGTTGAATAAAACTTTAATGACGGGGAGAAACAGAGCTGGGGGCGCAGAGGGCCTTTTGCCCTGGGTTGGAGGAGGGGAGCTGGCGCCAAGGGGGGAACTGGCAAAGGGGAAGCTCGATTTGGGGCTTCTTCCCGAGCTATAGGGGCTTCCGGCCCTGGAATGACTGTGACAGGGTGGGGGTGAGGATGAGAGTGAGGGGATTGTGCGGGAATGGGGGTGCGGCAGAGGCCTCGGAAGTACGGGGCTGCAGGAAACGACTGCCAGCAGGAAGGACCACAGAGCTGGAGCCTAGGGTTTAGGCTCCGTAGATTTGAAAATAGCTTGTGGAGGCCGGGTCTACCCCTTTCTCCATCCAAACCCAACCCTCTAGGCGAGTGAAATCGGGCTCACAGCGACCCTCTAGGCTAGAGTCTGCGGGGCCGCAGATGATGGAATCGGCCTGGCACATCTTTCCCGAGCAGCGTTTCCTGTTCCAGAGCCTTCCCTACCCGACCATGCGCCCTCAATCATTTTAAACACTCTGCTACCACAAAGCCTCAGTCCCCCACCACCGACGGCTCCTTCATCCGGCCCCTGGAGGCCTTGTAAAATCCACCTGCTTCTGGATTCGAAGTGATTTCCGTCCTGGCACCAGCGTGGACGCGACCCTGTGACCCTGCTTGTTGAGCCACTGGGCCAGAGAAGGCGTTTGGCTCCCAGTGACATGACTCCTTGTTGACTGAAAGGCGCCCAGTGTGTTTTGTTGGGCATCTGTGTGGGCCTTTGCGTTTGTTTAACGTCTATTTAATGTCCGAGTTTACCTGTTAGTGAACCTTGTGCTCACATATTTCTGTTTGAATAGTTGTATCAGTTACCTTCTCTCCAGTAGCTTAAAAGGGCTTTATTTTAAAAGCAGACCGCGGCAGCAGCAGATGCACTTCTGCAGATTTTGTCCTCATCGAGACACTCAGGGAATTAAGAATGGCAAGTCTGGGAAGGTGGTGATGAGATTCGCTTCAGCAATTTGGAAGAGAGATTTTCTGATGTTTGGAAAAAGATTTCATGAAAATTAATTTGAGGGGCACAAGTTCTATACAAGTAAAATACAGGGGAGGGAGAACGTGCGAGTTTTGCCACAAGGAAGGAGGAACATTATTGCAGGGAATAGAAGGGAGGCAAGCCTGGACCCTGGGCCAAAGGCAGAAGGCCTGGCTTCGGCAGCCTGAGTGCTTCCTGCATTTGAATTAGTTCATCCTTGATTTTTTCCTGGGCCTCTGGGTAGCTGAGTCAATACATCTGCTGACGCTTTAACTGAATTCCAGGCGACCTGGAGTCCTGGCGCTCTCGCCATCAATCCGGAGCCTACCAGAATCTGCAGAGTCTAGGGTTCGAGGCTCCATTGGGGGAGGAAAGCCACCGCAGCGGGTGAAGTTCCTGCAGTAGAGAGCCTCCGCCGGAAGGGGGTGCTGTTGTCTTTCCAATGGTCCAAACCCACTTTGGTGGTGAAAGCCATCTCTGCGATCTCAAATCTTTTGCTGGTTTTTAAATTATTGCGAGTGAATGCTAGAGGAGCCCCGAGATTTTCAGTCAAGGATGGTGGACTGGAGGAATCAGGGCCCTTAGAGTCCAGAGTCTCGAGGTCCCTGACCTCTCTGGCAGAAGGGCCCTGAGTGGCCTTCTCCCTTCATATAAGGATCTCCCCCCCCAAAAAAAAATACACACACCTTAATGCTCCACTCATTTGTCTCACGCGCACCCACATGCCCACGTGCGCTGAAGTCTCACCAGTTTACAGTCGGGTCATCGCACATTATCTTTGGTCAGGTTCTAGTTTATGGAAGGAAGCAGAGGAATTAAGACCTGTGAGGTTTAAAAGGCCTTGGTTTAAAGGAGCCTCAGGAAGGTAAAATGTGGCCTCTTCTGATCCAGACTCTTTACCAATGAATTTAAACTGGAGGACAGGACTTGGAAGGGATTTTTTTTTAATGTAGGGAATTAATTTACTTCCAGCACATGTGCACCCTAAGGAGCTCAGGGTAGAGGTTGACAGGCCACCTCTGGCTTCTCCCCCAGTCCTGGACTCCTCTTTGGTAAAGAGATTTAGAAGAATCTGAGCCGCTTCTCAATTCCTTCTTTCCCAGGATAGGATCCAGGGCTGGGGTCCCACCTGATTGAGGGCAGCAAACATGCAAATCTCTGGGCTGCGGGGGCGCGTTCTGGGATTCCTGGTCAACTGCAGGCTAGCACCTAGAAATGGAAAAACCGCCATGGTCGCCCTCCTGTTCCTCAGCCCTCGCGCTGCTTCAGTAGGTCCTTCTCCCGCCTTCTCTTGGGGGCTGTGAGTCCTCGGCCCAGGCTGCGAACCTGTGGCTTTGCTGTGCAGCCCCGCTACATGCTCCCCCCATTCTGTGGTGACCAAGAAAGCAAAACTGGTGCCACTGTGGTCTCCACCTACTCGGGGAGTCGGAGCATTGGGATTGAACCAGTCGAGAGTGAAGAGGAAGTGAAGCCTGCAGACAGTATCAAGTAGGCCGCAGAGGGTTTTTCTGGCTTAGCTACGTGAGATTTTTTTTTCACCTGCAGAAGGATCTGAGCACTTTCGCTGCCTGAAGCCTGGAGTTGTGTGTGGGGGTTCTGAGGTGGGAGCAGAGGATGGAGCAAAGGGGCCATTTTCAGGTTTCTTCTGCAGGGTTACAGTGAGCATGGGGCATTGGGTTACAGAGTGCCTGTAAGCGGGGGTAAGGCCCTTGTTCTGTCACTTGTTCTGTCACCACGGTTAGTGCCTGGGAGAGGCCACATCCCCAGCCTGCAAATATGTTTCAAACAACTACAGAGGCCCAATGAAGAAATGCAGCCTCTTTCTCTGTCAGAACCACCCAAAATTTTTGGAAGTCTGTTTAGTTCTTCCCTTCCCACAGTTTGGTGAACAATCCAGACATTTTCCCAGACTTTAGAATCGGGAGGCAAGAGGGGCAGATCAGGCAGCTCTGGAGGCCAGGTGGGAGGTTCAGAGAGCAGTGCACAGCCTGCGCAACGGAGCGAAGGGGGGAAAGGGACCCGCACGAGTCCTGCCATTTGTCATTTTTTTTAAAATGCTGAACAACAGTGCAGTTGTAGAGTTGAGTCTGCCTTTTCTGCTTCCCAAAGCCCTCGTGCGCCACAGCCCTGCTGTGTGTGTGGGGTGGGGTGGGAGGTGTCTTGATTTTAGCAGAAAAGGGGCTCTGAGACGAAGCTGCCCTACCACAGGTCTCCTTCCAAGTTTATTCACGATCAGTTCAATCCATAAGAGGCATTTCGAAAGTGCTCTAGAGAACTCTAGATAGGAGTACGAGGCTAATTATCAAGGCCTTCGTCTTGTTATCTGATTATCACCAAAGTCCGGATGAATGATTATGACTAAGACAAGTCCTTTGATTGATGTGATCCTGGAGAAACCTGCTCTAACTCTCAGACTAACTTACCCCCTGCGGGGTACCCAAGTTTCCCCTAAAAAACAGTTCAGGGAGCTGTGGTCTGGGAAGGGTGTTGCTTTTGGGGGGCCCCTCAGCAGAGTCCTATGCCTCCTGGCAGGGTCCTGGTCTCCCCAGGACACTCCTAATGCTCTCCCCTCCCTAGCCAGGGTGCTCCCTCAAGGGGTAGCGCTAGTCTTGACCTTGGCCAGCACCTTTTTCTCCTTGACCCTGCGGTTCTGAAACCAGATGGTGATCTGGCGCTCGGAGAGGCTGGTGGCCGCCGAAATCTTGCGCCTCTTGTCCTTGGTAATGAACTTGTTGGCTGCGTACTCACGTTCCAGCTCGCGTAGCTGCCCCTTGCTGTACGGAATGCGCTTCTTTCGGCCTCTGCGGAAGGCGCAGCCATCAGGCGGGTGCTGCGCATTCGCGTCTGCGCGCAGGAGTGGGGGAGAGAAAGACACGCTTAGACCCCTCCGCCTGCCCAGCACGAGGGACCCAGGTTCCACAAGTCTCCAGGCCCCGGCATGCTGCACGCTCATCCAGGGGTGCTCCCGCAGAACTCAGCTTTCTGCTAGGTCTCTGATGATCACCGCCCATCTTTGGGGACATAGAGCTCTCCTCATTCATGACCCTCACCCCTCACAAGCACACCCACCACACAGCCAGGCCTTCCTTCACCATCACAATGTTTTCAGACCCAGACACTCATAGATTCTACAGGAGGAGCTCCGTTCCTTATTCCATTCTCAACGCACACATGCACCCCAACGAGCACACCTAAGCCATGGCTATAGGGATCCTAGTTTTTTCTTTGAAAACAGAAAAATCTCACCTAAGAGGAAGTGAAAGATTGTATTCTCTACCTTCCAAGACCATGCAATACCTGAATTATGGTTCCTCTATCCCACACCCTCCACCTTCACACTCACTAAATTGATAATTCTTTGTGCAGAATTAGGTTATAATTTTGCGTGGAAAGCGCGCCCTGACCCCCAACAAACAGTAAAGAGAATTAAACTCTCTCCGACACACTGAAAGGTTGGTCACAGGGTGAAAGCCTGGAAACGTGTTGACCCATAAGCTTAGAAAGACCCAGCTCAGGGCTCTTACTCAGGTCCTCATGGCTTCGAGCCAGGCCTTACAGTTGTCTGGACGCTCTTTCCGGGTCCGAATAAGCCAAAAGAGAAACCCAGTGTCCTCCTCATTAGCCCCCAAATAAATCTCCCTTGTCCTCCTCCCAGGACGGCGCCAGCTGGGCCTACAACGCTGCACTCAGAACTAAGTAGTCCAGGGCATGGGGCAAGTTACCTGCAAACGCCGCCTTCCAGAAGGGTCCGGGTGGGTTCTGGTCTCCCTGGCAACACATCTGGCTGTTCCAGCCACCAGCAAGGGCCCAGGGCTGGTAACTGTCGACGGGCAGCAGAGAGTCGTGGCGAGGCTCTCCTGGGGCACCCAGAGTCTGCACCACCGACACATCCAGGTAACTGGCCATAGGCTGGTAGGGTCCGGGGTACCCAGGATAGAAGGCAAACTCGGTGGGGCGGCTGGAGTACTCCTCCCCAGCCGCGGGGGTCTCTGCGGGGTAGGCAGTCAGAGTGGCTGCCTGGGCGCAGGGTTTCAGCGAGCTCCGGGACACTCGGCAGGAGTAATACCCGCCTCCGAAGTAGCCATAAGGCACCGGAGTTGGAGACGCCCCCTGGGGCACCCCGGGGCATGGATGGCACTGCTTCGGCGGCTCTGCAGAGCCTGGCAAATCCAGGGGGGCATAGTTGGCAGCGGGCATCAGTGCTGACGCCGCTGGGTGGCTGGTTAGTGGGGAATGGGCAACCAGACTGCGACCCCCTCCGGTTCCCAGCAAGCCTTCGATATCCTTGGCCACGTCCAAGGTGGCATAATTGCCAGGCTCCATGGGGCCGAGGGTCGGCTCATGGGGTGCCGGGAGTGGGGGAGACAGGGGGTACTCAGCTCGCTCTCCCCTCCCAGGCCCAGGGAATCCAAAGCGTTTTAAATCGCTCGCAGCTCGCCAGGCGCCTGCATTCGCTCGGCCCGGCCGCCTTTACGCAGCGGACGCAGGGGCCCGGGCACGCGCGCTGATTGGCTGCGGCCTGGGGGAGAGAAGCTAATAAAATCCTCATGGCAGAAATTACGAAAATACTCTCTACGTCCCCCTCCCTTTCTTTCTCTCTCTCAGTTTATGGCATTTGAGAACAACACGAGAGAGGGAAGGCGGTGTCCAGTTTAGAGAGACCCAGGTCTGGGCTGGGGGGCAGGGTGGGCGGCGCGGGGAGAGGGACGCAGAGCACGGCCCCGCCCCACCTCCGCTGGCCTCCTCTCCCTGCCTTTCTGTCTCTGGCGCTTTGGCAGGTTTAACGAGAGAATGAAAAGCTTTCTCTATAAAGCGTCCATCTCATGGGAGAAGGGGAGTCGGGCTGGGGGTGGGGGGCAGGGAGGCCGCTCCAGGACTGAAAAGGGAACCCGAGAAAGAGTCCGAGCTAGAGGAGGCTGGGAAATAGGGGTTAAAGGTTTTTCCTGGAAGCCTTTTTTTTTTTTTTTTTTTCGTCCTGACTACCACCCCACTTCACTCCATGCGCCCTCCTTCCCTCTTGGATAAATGCACTGCCCCAGACCCCAGGGAAATGTGCAGGGTGTCTCTTCTTCAGGTACCCACAACTATTGCCCCAAGGCTCCGAAGGCCGAATTCCGGGGTGGGGCTGAGGGAGGAGCAGGGGACAGGGACTCTGGCGACAAGGACGTGGGAGCTTGAGCTCTGGACGCGCAACGTCCGGATCTGAAGGGGAAGTGGAACCTCTAGACGTGGCCTATGGAAGGGGCTCTGGATTTCCGTTTATGGGTGGGGAAAGAGACATGCTTGTAGATTGAGAGAGAGGGAGAGGGAGCACCCCAGGGACTACTGTGCCAAGAACGAGAGAGGCTGAAGGGGCTGGGAAAGGGTCTTATAAAATCCTAACGTGCCTGTCTGAAAAAAAGACTCTTTTCTTTTTTTTCTAGAGTGAAGAGTTCTGGGAAGCCAGGCCTAACCAAGTGACCTGAACTGGTTGTTGGGGTTCTGGACCTCAAAAATGCAAGAGGAAAACCGGAGATGTCCAGTTGCTGTGCCCTGTGGCCCTCCAGTTATAGTCCAAGAAGAGACCAGTAAACTCATCCTGGCATTAATACATTTCCACCCAAGCGAGTGCAGCGAGAGAGAGAGAGACCCCTTTTTGCCTTCACCAGGTTTTACATTTCCTCTAAAGGAAAAGGGGGTAGGAGGGGCAGCTCCAGCCATTGGCAGCATTGCTTGAGGCCCTTCTGATGGGGGCCTATTGTGCAGGGCAATTCAGAAGATTCCAATGGTTTGTTTCACAAATCTGTCTGTAGGATTCCTCCTCTCCCTCCACCCCACTTTTCCTCACTGCCCACCCCAAATAAAATTCCTTTGTATCAGTTTTTTCTTGAACCTTATTATTATCGTCTTTTTTTCTTTTCTGGAGGAGAGGGCAAGGACCTCTCCATTCCATCCCATTCCAGAGTTGTGGAAATTATATGTGACCCTGAACTCTGGGGTGGGCTCATCCATGCCCTCCCATCAACCTGAACTTGAACTTGAGCCACCTCGTGGGAAACTAGAGTTGAAGAGATTACTCTGAGTTTGTAGGCTTATCGTGGAGCGTGGAGAGCACCCTCAAGGAACACTTCTAATGACTGAAGACACCAAATACAAGGGTTTTGCTAGATTTTACTGCATTTGAACACAGGAAGAGGAAAGAAGGGTGTCTCTCTGCAGCTTTCTCATTTTCTCATTTTTATCATAGCCCCCTGATCATATAATTTTAAAAGACAGAAATGATAATTTTTTCCACTGGTTTTTAAACTATAGATGAAGGGCATATAGAACATTTCCATGGTTGAAACATTTCTATCATGTATAAGATTATAAAGGAGCTCTGATGGCATAGGGTATTACATATTGCAAGGCTAACAGAAATCCATGAGCTGTTTCATGGGAGAAGGATGGCCATCTACTCCTGTAAAGATTCACAGCCTTGGAAACCTGACTGAAGGTTGCTGTAAGTAGGAACTGACTCAGTAGTATGAGTATATGTGTTTATATATGTCTAGAATAAACACGATGTACACACATATATATAACACAGTACAGACATGAATAGATTCCTAAATGAAAAATAATATGTAATCATAAGCATGAACTATTTACCCAGCTATTTTCCACTATGGAAATAAAGCCTTTACGAATTAATGATTTTCCCCCAATCCAAAAACATTATTAGAATATCCATAACATGTTTATTCATAATAATTAAAAATTAGGAGCAACCCAAATGTCTATCAAGAAAGAATATATAACCAGACGACTATATCAATAGAAGAATATATTTTTAAAAAGAAAAAAAAGTATGTTATTGTTGTTGATCGCCGTCTAGTTGATCAAACTTATAGTGACCCTATGAACAAAAGACCTGACGCTTTTCTAGAACTATCGTTTCTCAAAGTTCATAGAGTTTCCTGAGGCATGTTGTTTAGGAAGTGGATGCCACTCCTGCTTCCAACTATTACATGATTATTATGGCATTATTAAACTTTTCAGACATGATATTATGATTATGTTTTATTTTTTTCAAAGAGTCCTCATAGTCCAGATGTTGAGGTTCATTTAGATAATATAATGTCTGGAATTTGCTTTCAAATACTCCACTGATGGTAGACAATTGTTGCAAATTTTAAAATCTAGGTGATGGGTGTCTGAGTTTTATACTATTCTCTCCACTTTAATAATAAACTGTGAAGTTTTTATGCTAAAGAAGATTTTTTTAAAAGCCCCAACAAACTATGTACTTAGGGTTATAATGATTAAATTCATTGACCTCGAGTAGGAACTGACTCAGAGAAGATAAATATAAACAAATGACGTTATGCTTGAGCAATGAAATATTCTACGGAAATTTAAAATAAAAACCCACAAACGACTGCTACATACAACATGGATAAACCATGCAGATATGTGAGGAAAAGAAATCAGGCACAAATAAAGCAACTTTTGTACAACTGTGTTTCTATAACGTTTCAGAACGATCAAAATGAATCCATGATAATAAAGGTCAGTAGAGACATTCTTGGAGTGAGGGGTTTGTGACGGGGAGGAGAAAAAAGAAGGCCTTCTGGGGTGCTAGAAAGGGCCTCTACCTTTTTCAAGAAACTAATTATCCCTGGATGTTCTCACTTGGTTGAAAATCCATCAAGCTTTACACTTGAGATTCCTGGACTTCAGTATAAACGTCCTATCTCAAAATGCAAAGGGAAATAATTTTAAAACAAAACTGTAAAAGTTTATTGCAACTGAGCCTACAACAGTGCCTTTCTGAGGTAACCGGACTATGAAATGGCCAACAGAAACCTTGCCTCTGAGAGGCTCTACTGTGAACAGAGACATACATTTCCATACAAAGAAATAAACACTGTCAAGATGCAGAGTTTTCCCTTCCTCCTCTAACATTTAGTGAGCACCTACTGGGCCCCAGGACACGTTCTGATATCACTTAATAAAGTGGACCCCCCCCTCCCCCAGACGTGTAGATATAGGTGTATCTTGCCTGTGTGGGACACCTTAGCCCTGAGTTTGGAGTCAAAGAAGGTAGGGTTAGGTCTCCTTACCTGTAAATTAAGAGATAATAATTCCAACCTCACGGACGTTGTGAAGATTAAATGAGATTGTGCACAAGAAAGCGTTTTCTAAACTGAATCAATATTAGGAGTTTTGTGTTCCTCTACGTGTATCTGTTTGTCGTGGATTGTGCCTGGCTTTTGGGGGGACAAAGAGGACAATAGTCCTGAAGAGCACTGGTCACTTCTTGCCTCTTCGCTCTCAGTCCTGAGAAAGCAGGAAGTTCTCACATGGAGAAATTGAGGCTGATAAGTCCTCAAGTTCCCCTGGTATTTACACAAGTTCAGGGCCCAAGTCCCTGCATGAGCCAGGCGTCCTGACGTCCCGGCCAACGCGGGCTCCCCCTGCCCTTCCCCCAGCCCCACCGACTCTTTTGTGTCCGTCCGGGAGCCTCAGGGCAGACCCCACAGGCCTGGCCTCCCTCCACCCCCATTTACTGACCCAGCCAAACGCCTTGAAAGCCTCAGCTTGCTCCTTTACATACCGACCAGACACCTCGAGGAAGGTCAAGGCCAAGTTGAAAGTTAAGAGTCTGATTACCTCCGGGAGCCCATTCAGCGCAGCTCCGCAGACCGCCTCTGACCTTTACAGCCCAGCCTTTGAGTGAGGCCGCCGCGCCCCCCGGGGGTTCCGGCCACGGGGGACCTGGCACCTCCGTGTCAGCCCCCGCCCCGACCGGGCTGGGGACCCACCAACGAAGGGGAGGGGGCCCGAGGAGTCCACCCTCCCCACGTGGGCATTTGGAAGTTTGCGTTTTAGATTTTTGTAAAGCAAAGTTAAGTAAGGGCTGCCTCCACTCTCCCAACTGAACAATATGATCGCATGGGCGATGGGCCGGTGTCTGCGGCCAGTGCGCGTTGATGGGCAGCTTCTGCGAGGCCTGGGCCTCCACGGGCTTTGTGCAAATGCCCTAACCGGGTGGCTCTGATCCTTTTTTCCTTCTTTTTCCAACCTTCCTTTCCGTCCTTTTTTTTGTCTGACCTGCTTGTGATTTCTTGCTATTTCTCTCTTTTCTGTGTGTTTTTTCTTCAGTCTTCGCTTCACTTTAGCTATGTACGTGCTTTCTTGAGTCCTTATCCCTCCTCCTCTGTTTTTCTCTGTTTTCTGGCCTCTCTTTGCTCCTATGTCTCTTGATCTACCATTTGGTTTCCCCTCCGTCACGTACACTCTTTTTTTCTTTCTTTCTCATTCTTTCCATTTTCTCCCCACCCCTTCCTCCCCTTTTATATCTTTTCCTCTTCTCTCCTTATCCTTTCTCTTTGATATCGGGTTGACTTTTCTCTGTCGCTGTCCACCTAACGCGCTCAAGCACTTTTCAGGGCCTTCTTGTATAACTTCCCATTGTTCCGAAAGCTGGAATGGCCTCG